TCGCAAAGAGTTGGACACAACTGAGCGACTGAACTGAACTGAAAGACAGTAAAATAATTACAACAGGAATTTACTCTGGATAAACTAAGTTTGATAGGACAGTGCTATGGAATGAACATTTGTTGACCATTTGAAAATTCATATGTTGAAGCCCTACCCGCCCCCCCGCCCCACACACCAGTGTCATGGTATTTGCAGGTGGGGCATGTGGGAGGTAATTTGGTCATAAGGGTAGGTCCTCATGATACAACAGACACCCTAATGTAAAGGAGAATGGGCACGAGAGATTTTGCTCTCTCTGCCATGTAAGGATACAGTGAGAAGATAGCCATCAAGTCAGAAGATTCTCTCTGAGAACTGAATCTGTGAGCACCTTGACCTTGGAATTTCTAGACTCCAGAACTGTGATAAATGAAGCTTCCCAGTCTGTTCTGTTTTATAATAGCAGTCCAAACTGAAAAAGACAGCAATCTGACATATATTTTAAAATAAGCATGCTACTTGCTGCCTTTGGACATTTTCACTTGGACATCTCACATGCACTTTAACTGAATTCACATAATTATAAACTCCTCTTTAGAATTGTTTCTTGTTACATCTCCCTGCTTCAGTGAGTAAAACCACATTTAGCCAGCTATGCAAAGGAGAACACTGAGTGTTACCTTTCAACCATCCCTCAGGCTCAAAAACTCCCTACCGACAGACAAACTGAATCAACCACTAAGTCCAGGCTAGTCCACTTCCTAAATATCTCCACGTTTGTATTATTTTTCTACCTGTAACACCTTACTTTTATTTATTTACTTACTTTTAAACTTCTTTATTGAGGTACAGCCGATTAATAAAAAATGTTGTGACAGTTTCAAGTAAACCACGAAGGGACCTAGCCATATATATACATTTATCTTTTCTCCCCCAAACCCCCAATGCCATCCAGGTTGCCACATAACATTGAGCAGAGTTCCATGTGCTATACAGCAGGGCCTTGTTGGTTATCTGTTTTAAACATAGCAGTGTGTATCACTTTACTTTTAGTTCAAGCCACTAATATTACTTCCCCAGATGACTGCCAAGATCATCTTTCTCTTTGCCATTCCTCTAGTGTTTCTTCCACATGGAAACAAAACATTGACCTTAGTTAACTCTGGGAGAAAGGAAAGAGAGTGGAATTAGGGAGTGCTCTTTAAGTATATTGGTGCAATTTTTTATTCTTTAAAAACGAAGATTGAAATACACATGACATAATAATAAGATCTGATAAACTTGAGTGGTTGATATACAGGAGTTTGTTATTGCATTCTCCTTTTCTTGCTGGGACATTTGAAATATTATCCAGTGAAAAAGTATAAAACTAAAATAACACAATAACAAAATGAATAAAGTAAAATAAAATGATTGCTACTATCCATTTGTAACCCTTTTACTATGGGAATCAATTTGATAATAAATTTCTTAATATCTGGTATAAATATCTTACTTTTTGAACCTGGAAATTACATTTTCAAATTAACATTTAATGAGATCATTCTTTACATGGGCCCAAAGATGCTCATTAGAGGGTAATGATCAATAAGGAACTTGCTAAGGGAATTTTGCTTTGTCTTGCCAGTGAAATATAATGTGTCCCTAAAAATGATTGCTCTGGAGACTGAATAATACATAGAAAGGTACCTATGTTAGGATGTTAAATGAAAACATGTGTGTTTGTGTACATAAATCCATCCACATGCACACAACTATAAACATCTACTAGAGAAGGAAACGGCAACCCACTCCAGTGCTCTTGCCTGGAAAATCCCATGGGTGGAGGAGCCTGGCAGGCTACAGTTCATGGGGTTGCAAAGAGTTGGACACTACTGAGCAACTTCACTTTCTTTCACATAAACATCTATGATGAGAAACAAGAATACTGAAGGGCAATAAAGCAAAATACCAAAGTGCATATGCATTAGGGTGCTGACTTTTAAAAAAATTTTTTCATTAACGTATTTAACTTAGTTTTATAATATATAAAGTTTTAACTTCACATAAAAATACACCACCTAATGATTCAGTGTTTCAGGCATGCTTCCATCTTTATATTTAACAGTGAGTGTCCTGTGTAAATATTAGCATTTCATCCTCTATGTCTGAGAGTACGAAGGTATATTCGCTGTCACTCTTCTCTGCCAGAATGAAGACAGCACAGGGCTATTTGAATAGATAGCAGAGGCTGAAATTCAGGTGAGTACGTGGCCACTATGATTGCTCTGCTAAGGTTTAATAAGCAGAGTGACATTTGCCCAAGTTGGCTGAGGTGCAGCTGAAGGACCAGGCTGTATCAAAGTCAAAGGCCAAATTCACACTTGGTAGGGCTGTTGCATCTCCTTGCTAACTGCAGATGTATCTTTATGATTCTCACACCAATCAGCCATTTATATTGTATTTCCCCTGTTCTGAAATATCACACAAGTCATGAAAAGGGTTCAACCCATGCTGAAATTGAAGTAGTGGGTGGATGATGTTCTCTTCTTCTCTGAGGAGGCTCTGCTAAGGCAGGACTGGCTGAGTTTCTCTCCGTGGTGTCTTAGGACAAATGATTCAAACTTAAAGCTTAAAATCCCAGGATAGAGAAGCCTAGCAGGCTATAGTCGTGGGGTTGCAAAAGAGTGGGACACAATTTAGCAACTAAACAATAACAATCCTTGCACAGAAAAGAGAACAAAAGGGAAAAAGCAAAATTGAAAAAGTATTTGTTAACCATAATGAAGTCTCGATGACTTCATGTTCCTCACAACTGCTCCTCAGGGAAATATTTTCTTATTTTCTGCTTAAGTAGCTTTTGCTTCTCAGCCTGTCCAGCCCTCCTGGGCAGCGGGGGCAGGATCGTCGGTGGGAACAGCAGGACTGCTCTTACGGATGCCCCTGAGGCTGCTGTCAGTGCACATTTAACCTGGACAGATTTCCAGAGGTTTGGGGTTTTCAAAACGTCACGCATTTTGGAATGAACATAATGACCTGTTATCTCTAAAGGTTGTGTGCCATGTGTTCACTCGTGTTTGACTCTTTGCAACATGGACTGTGGCCCACCAGGCTCCTCTGTCCATGGGATTCTCCAGGTAAGAATACTGGAGTAAGTTGCCATTTCCTTCTCCATTCTAAAGGTTAGCTCTCGCTTTTCTATATTGAAGGAGGGAAAGAAAGAAATCAGTAATACAAAAATTGTCTCACTGTCGCTGGATGTCTTTCCATGATTACCTCCCGGGGGGCAGGGGGTAGAAGGAGCAAGCAGACAAGTGGAACAAGATACATGAGAGGAAGCCAGGGAGACGGAGGCTGTGTTCTCCTGGCTCCTTCACTCCATCACGTTGATTCTCTTTGCTGTATTGCTGATTCTGGCATTTCAGCATATAGTTGTCCTTGTTTTATAGGCAGTAGTAACAATGCATACATGCATGCTAAGTCATTGCAGTTGTGTCTGACTCTTTGCTACCCAATAGACTGTAGCCCGCCAGTCTGTCCATGGGATTCTCCAGGCAAAAATACTGGAGTGGGTTGCTTTGCCCTCCTCCAGGGGATTTTCCTGACCCAGGGATCAAAGCCACTTCTCTTATGTTTCCTGCTTTGGCAGGCGGGTTCTTTACCACTAGCTCTAGTTGCCCTCATATAGGCAGTAGTAACAATAGAGGCAGAAAATTCCAGAATAGAGTTGGATAGGATCCAAAAGAAGAAAAGAAAGTTAGAGTCTACCATTAAAGCCCCCAAATGAGTGAAGAGCCCCAAGTACCAGAACAGGCCCTGACTCCTGCCTTCAGAGACCTCGAGAGCCCATGTTCTACAAATGTCCATGAGCTCCTGTCCAGCTTCTAGCATCAGTCTGCAGCTGGACTGTGCCTACACGGCTGAGGCCAACCAACAAAACCTAAGCAGAGGTAGTCTGCATCACTCCAGGCCAAGTCCATTAGGAAGGGCCAGTCTGCCTCTTCAATTCCTCCCCTCCCAGCGGGGCAATTTCAGATGTCTAGCTACAAGACAGAGCAGGGTCATCTGGTCTATATCAGATGCAGAATGGGATAAAATAAACCTTCACTGTGTTCCTAAGATTTTGATTTGTTACTGCAGCAGAACTTATCCTATCCTGACATACTTAACAGCAATGAACCTCTTCAATGCTTGATTTTATGAGAGAAAACTATTATTCCTGTAGGTATGAAAAACTGATCAATTGGAGACAGAAGAAGACCATTGGGCTAAGAATCAGGAGAGCTGGTTATGGTCTGGATGTGGCTGTAATTAAAAGGATGCCTCTTGTAGGTGGTTTGACTTCTGTGATCCATCAACCAGAGCAGTTATAAATCTTTATGTTTTGCTTTTTAAAAAGACACACAGGTTATCACAAAGCACTGGATTTGAGCTCCTTGAGGCCCTTGAGGGTTGGGGGGTGAGAAGTGGGAGGGAGATTCAAGAGGGAGGGGACGTGGGTGTACCTATGGCTGATTCACGTTGATGGATGGCAGAAACCAACAGAATACTGTAAAGCAATTATCCTCCAATTAAAAATAAATTAAAAAGTAAGTAAAAAGACATGTAGGGACTTCCTTGGCAGTGCAGTGGCTAAGACTCCAAGCTTCCAATGCAGGGAGCCCAGATTCCACCCTTGGTCAGGGAACTAGATCCCACACGCTGCAACTAAGAGTTAGCATACGACAACTAAAGATCCCACATGCCGAAACAAAGACCAGGCAAAGCCAAATAAATAAATATAGAAAATAAAACACTTGTAACTCTTAATGTAAATAAAACGTTTCATGAGGATAGTATATAAAGCTGATTAAAAAAAACCAAACAAACTGCCTCTTTGTTTATACCATGCCTGACACATTTACTACCCATAGAAGCCCCTGGGCACTCTTTGTAGAACCCTGCAGATCCAGGGGCATGAGTGCAAACTGCCGGCTTGACCTGTCTCCATGGCTTATTCTGAAGCTGACGTGGTTCATAGAGAGAGCATCTGTTCTCACCTGTTCCACATGTTACACTGCACTCTGTCCAGTGGCCATACTGCCAGAAGTACACCAGCTTCTCCACGTCATTGTCAAGGCCATCCTTCCGGATTGTGTACTCATACTTGATACCAGGGTTAGTCACCTGGAACAGAAGCTAAAGAGCAAGAGAGGGGTCATGCTAAACTCCGATGTGACCTCACGCTTTAAATCACAGTCACATAAAAATCCTGCCCAATGTCCACCACCTTAAAGTAGTCATGAAGGCATGCAGTGGAACAAACGCCATTAAATAAATACATCTACTTCCACCTGTGAGTCTACGTACATCTACATCTAATCTGCCCCAATCTATTATTTCTTGACTGAATTCCCATGGGAAATCTAATCATATGGGAATTATCCTGAGGGATTGACCAGAGTACTCTTTCCAACAATAGCTGGTAGGTCACTTTGTGCTCTTACATACCTACTAACTTTGTGGTTATGGGTAATTTCCTTGATCTCTTTGTGCCTTACTTTCCTTATCAACAAGGTAAGGATAATCACAGCATGACTATGGATTGCTGATGAGGGCTAAATAAATCATCGTTATGTGATTAAATATGGTTGGATCTGTGCCTGGCATATAGTTAGCACTCAGTAAACACTAATTTGGTTGTTGTTATTGCTTTATGATGCCCTCTTCTAGCTCTTAGGCTGATTTCTTTACAATATATAATTCTGGGGTTAAAATGGTCATGGGTTTTAGCCAAAGCATAAAATTGTAATCAGAATTTGGGACCTTCTCCTCCTTTCCCTCTCCTGCAGGCAATCTATTTATCAGGTGTTTGAAATAGATTCATCTTACATTAGAGGTGGAGGATTGGTTGCTCCATGGAATTGCAGGTCCTCATATATAAAACTTTTCCCTGGTGGGCCTCTAAAATGTAAGGTCTCTTGACATTTATGGATCATGGCTGTCAAGCCTTGACTTCCAGCTTCTGTGAATGCTCTGATCTCTGGTTCTGAAATGACTTTCCTCTAAATTCTGAATATAGTTAGATGTCACTGTCTCTTGGGCCATTCATAATCCCCAACCTGCCTTGCCTCTGCTGGTATAATTATCCCACTCCTTTTGTATAGTTCTTTGCCAGTATGGTAGACAAATCACTTCTGCCTTTGATGAGCACATCCTATATGTAAATATATTTCTCCTCCAAGGGTTTTAGAAAGTCAAATCTTTTGTTTGAGGACAACCACATGAGAACACGTGAAAGAACCATGTCAGTTCATCACCACTGCTGGAAAGCTGTTTGAAAACTCATAACAGGCTGACATAGACTGGTGCTGTCATTTTCATATCCAAGGAAAAACTCATCCTGAAATAAATAGCCTGCATTGACCATACTGGAAACTGAACTCCATGGACGATCTTAGGGCCCCTGACATTCCATCATGAGAATTTCAGCAATTTTAGATAATAAAGGGTTAGCAGCACTTCCCACCTTGTTCCTTGCTAAAAGGAGGTTTAAGTATTCTTAATCAAGGTGTGTTAAGTCTCTTCAGTCATGTCTGACTCTTTGCGACCCTATGGACTGTAGCCTGCCAGGCCCCTGTCTCTGTGGTGGTTCTCCAGGCAAAATCCTAGAGTGGGTAGCCATGCCCTCTTCCAGGGGATCTTCCCAACCCAGGGGTCGAACATGCATCTCTTATGTCTCCTGCATTGGCAGGCAGGTTCTTTACCACCAGAGCCATATCCTCTAGCAAATACTTCGGAAAAGAAAATTAGAAAGATCCTAATTAGTGTAAATGTCAGCAGTTTCCTTCACTTCTGCATTACCTGGATCCACACTGACTCATTGGTGGGACCCGTGGCCATCAGTTTCTCCAGGTCTCCTTTTCTGTCATATTGAAAGATGGTCCCTGCCAGCTTGTAGTTCCCATTCCACTGGATAATAAATCCTCCATTGAGGTAATATTTTTCAGGGTCTTCACTCCTGATGGCCAGAAAGTTTCCAGCGCCTTCAACCTCTATTACCCGTATGTCCCTGGCTCCTTTTGGAATCAGTCCGATGTCAACATAACCTAAGGAGAAAAGAAAGGCATGCAAGCTTAGCTGAACACAGTCTGTTTCCAACCCATTATCCATGCTCTTTCCAGCATCTCCACCATTTAGTGCCCTTGTCTTCCTGCTGGGTGGTTACTGAGACTGGCAGATGCACTAATCATGGGGAACTTTAAGGAGCTTGGCCATGAGTAGAAATCTCAGGAGCTTTGTGACTCAGTACTTAATCAGTTTTATGAGAGGAGAGGTGAAATGAATGCAGATCAGATTCTGAAGCTTTTGTGGTTGACCCAGCATTTATTTTTCTGCGATTTCCTGTTGATAGTTCAAGATGTTACAACCCGTAGCCAGCTTCCCATTTGCATTTTGCTTCCCCATTTGTTGCTGCTATCAGATTAATCTTCCTGAACACTTGCGGTGGCTACATCTTTTGCCTCATCCTCATTGCCTGAAAATTAAAAACAGATGAGGAAATAATTTAATCATAGCTTAAATTTATTAAGAGAATTCTGTAGGGAATCTTGCATTGATTGCCACCTGGCACATTTTAATCCAACTTATGATGAGAAACTCAGCTCTGAGCACAGCTTTTTATATTGCTGGACAATTATATTCATTAAAAAGTTTTTTTCATATTTTCTTATGTTTTGATGAAATATAAACTTATGGTTTATCCTCATGTGTTCTAATCCAACATTCTCAAAAGAGAGAACATCCACTTAAAGACCATGATCAATTTTAGCTACAGTCTTATCCTCACTTATTGGTTATTATGGTAGGAGACCTACAGGCGAGAAATGGAATTAAAACATGAAGGGTTTCCTCTCTTTGCCAGACTCTAAGCTAAGCCATTTATGCATTCATCCTATTTATGCTTCTTAAGAACATAAGAAGCATATGTTCATCACCTCATAGCTGTGATAGGAAGGAAAGACTCTGGGGAAGGCACTGGGAAAGGAGTACTGGGGATGGGAGTCAGAAATCAATTCTAGTTTCTGCATCACCACAAATAAGCTCCATGCTGTCCATCAACTTATCCAACTGCTTTGAGTATCATCTGTAAAAGGAAGGAGCTTGAATGAGATGATGTCTGACATCTTTCCTAGTGCTGATAATCAGTTATTTTGCCCATTTCTAGGCTAAATTTTCTTTGTTCCTTTAGTTTTTCCATACAAAACTTGATTTTAAGATCTTGATCATTCTGGTCATTTCCCACTGGATTTATCCTAGGTTTATTCTGACTAACAAGCAAGCCCTCATCTCTGTCACCTAAAAGTGCCCTGACTCTTTCTTTCCCTCACACATTAACACAGCATAGAATCCTGGGTGTTAAAACCCAAAACAGGCCAGCAGGAATGATTTACTCAGAAGCTGGGTACAGACCACAACTTTAGCTCTGTTTTTCAAACTGGCAGCTGCCATCTAAAGGAACCAAAGTGTAGGGCATGAAGTTCTTGATTAAATTCCACTAGGCCCTTACAAACTCACCTGAGACAGTTGATTAAAACTACTAATTTACAACTAGCAGGGCAAAATATTTATCACATGTAACTGAAGGTGATGCAATTGTATAAAAAGACTTCGGAACACTGCTTCCTACAGCCATCGCAGAGCTTCCCGTAGCAGAGCTCATGCAGAAAAGTCAACAGGAGTTAAATAGTATGCTGTTGTTATTTAGTCACTCAGTTGTGTCTGACTCTTTTGAGACCCTATGGACTGTAGCCTGCCAGGCTCATCTTTCCATGGGATTTCTCAGGCAAGAATACTGGAGCAGGTTGCCATTTCCTTCTCCAGGGGATCTTCCAGACCTAGGGATAGAACCCATGTCTCCTGCATTAGCAGGTGGATTCTTTACCACTGAGCCATCTGGAAAGCCCATTAAATAGTATGATAACCACCATATCCCTTGTCTTAATACAAAAAAGAAACCAAAGAAAATAAAAAAGCTATGAGAAATAGATGAGAAAACAACCCCCAAGAGTTTGCTTTTAATTTTCCACTTAAGAATATTAAAATTAGAAACATTTATTGTGTGTAGATTCTGCCATATTAAAAGGGGAAGTACATCAATTTTAAAATAAAAGAGTTCATTGAATACAATCTCTGCTTCTGAACAGTTTATAGACAGAAGATGTAAACTGAGGCAGATTTAGCCATGAGCAAAAGTAATACATATTTATAATATATTTTTCCAAAAGAACACCAAAGAGAAACCGAAAAAATAAAATTCTGATATTTGGAGTTAAAAAGAACCATAACATATCCACAGACTCTTACACATGACAAAATAGCTCACAATAGAGAGGAGTGTAAAATGAAAAGTAAAAGTTTCCATTTCCCTCCACCCAGGGTCTTAAATCCCAAAGATAATTACACTTAATAGTCTCTTGGATTCTCTTTCGAAACCTTTCTTTGTACTTATAAACACGCATACACATGCTTTTTTAAACAAGTGATATATCATACTATATGAACATTTTAACTATTGCTTTTTAAATTTAATGTAACTTACACATCTTTCCACATTTTTGAGCATTTCAACAACTGCCAAAAGGACATAAACCCATTTTTTAACCAACATACTGTTAATGGACATTTAGGTAGAAGGGAATTACCATCTGTCTATCTACAAAATGAAGAAATGTTTTCCAAGAGAGGAGGCAATCTATGCCTCATCATACATATGTGTGTATACATATATACACACATATCTATAACCAGGATTTGTTAAACACCTAAAATAGTGTTTTTAATGAAAAAATGTGATTGGTAGAACAGACCTGAAAAAAATCCCCTTGAATGTCTCATATTCATGGGTCTTCTTTACAGAAATGAGAATCATATAAAAAAAGTTGTAGAGGTGAAGGGTTATTGAGACATTTATTCTATGTCAAGGGAAAATTTTCAGGGTTGGTAAGTAGTACTTACTTCAAGTAGTAAGAATGATTAATATATTCATTCAGCACATCACTTTTCTTCCATTTTCGTCAGTAAACACTATCCTTTTGCACCAGTATTGGGGAAAGTGGAAAGACATAATCTTGACCTCAAAGAAGGAGTCTCTTCTTTGTTCACGGAGACCACCTGTAAAAACCATCCCTGAGTCTAAACATTTTAAGCTAAAAGAATATTCAGGACCTTTGAGGATGGGGCAGAAGACTGGCCTCACTTCTGAAGACAATGTTCTGGAGCAACAATGGATTATTGGTGCTAATATGTGTCTTATCCAACTATTCTATAAAAGGGATTTGCTCATTGGCTTATTTTGTTTCCAGTCTGTCACTTCAAATAAAAGTGTGTTTATGAAGGGGTCATACTGTTAACCCATGCAATTTATCTGCAACTACCAGCTTGCCTTTTTCTTTTTTTTTTTTTTTTAATTTGTTCTGTCAGTTTGTGGCAAGCAAGACGATCCCCACTGCAGGCCAAGATGTCATGGTTTCTGTGAGGAAAGATATTTTTCAGCTGGAAAAGACAGGTCACTCTTCTGAAGCCTGGCTTGACAGCAGTGACACGCTGGTATCTTGTTCAGATTCAAACCTGCGTTTGACCTGCTCACAAACCACAGTGAGGAAGAGCTACGTATAGTTGTATTCATCACCTAGATCTTTGAGAATTAAACTGCTCTGGATTTGGAACTTCAGCCTCAATTATTTCAAAAGAGGGTAGGAAGGGGCCTGGAGTCATGGAACACACCATAAGCAACTATGATCCTCTTGTTGGTTGGTTAAAAAGTTCATCCAGGTTTTTCCATAAGATTTTACAGAAAAATCTGAATGAATTTCTTGGCCAACCCAATGGAAACCGGTGGAAACAGCAGAGGGAATAGACAGAGGCTTCCTGACTCTGAACACTTCCAGGGTAAAGGCCCACCATCCTGAGCCCAGGAGGTCTTTCAGCTCTTCTGATGGGAAAGCTTCTGTGTAAAGTGTCCATTCTCCCTACTCCTTCCAACTCAAGGTTTCCCGGAAAGTGTGACTTAGGACAGTTTCCAAGTAACGGTGGTATTTTGGTAAATGTGTTTTCAAGAAAGCCATGTTCTCTCTCATCATCATCTCCTAACTTCTGCCTCCAATTCTGTCTCTGGGATGTTTTCTTATGTGATTGTCATCCCCTTCACATGAACTTCTTTAGTCCAGGCCCTCATCTCCTGGACCTGGGTTGACATCCCAGCACTGGGCTCTCCTACTCCAGGCAATTTTGTATGTCATTGGCAAACTAGTCTTTCTATGACACTGACCTCCTCATGTCATTTCACCTTCCTAAAATCATATAACGGCCCCATATGTGCTGTGCTAAGACACTTCAGTCGTATCTGACTCTTTGCAACCCTATGGACTGTAGCCTGCCAGGCTCCTCTGTCCATGGGATTCTCCAGGCAAGAATACTAGAGCCGGTTGCCATCCCCTCTTCCAGAGGATCTTCCTGACCCAGGGATCAAACCAGTGTTCTTATGTCTCCTGCATTGGCAGGCAGGTTCTTTACCACTTGCGTCACCCTGGAAGCCCCAGAATGGTCCCGATTCTCTCTTAAAAAATTAGGAAATAAATTGAATATTGTGAGACAGACGAGGAGCAGCTTTGAGTCATGAAGCCATATCATTTCTTCTTAAAAGCATCTCCAGTCCTACTGCCCAGACTTGTACAGACCCTGCACTCAACACTGAGGCCACAGCCCCGACCTGCGCTGTGAGTGCTCTTCATGGGCTCCGTGCATATTCATGATCACATTACTTTGTCACAGAGCCTAGAGGCCCCAAGCAAAGTCCAGAATGTGCTTCATTTTGTAATTAAGATGGGAATTTAAGTTATAACTTTTGTCAATTCTGAATTCTATGTGAATTTAATCTTTTGACCATAAAGATCAGTGGCAGAACCTAGGGAGCTGCAGCCAGAAGAACCAAGCATATAAACACACAAAATCAATTCAGGATGGGATCCAGGGGGTCAGGTACACAATTGCAGGCAGCTGCTGGTTTTCCTCCATTCCAGGAATCTCTTCTTCTGAAGATATGGATGCT